TCAACAAATGGGATCTCCTCCTACTGAAAAGTTTCTAAAGAAATCAACAAATGGGATCTCCTCCTACTGAAAAGTTTCTAAAGAAATCACCAGCAAAGTAAAAAGAAAACCCACAAACTGGGAAAAAATTTTAGCTGATTGTCCCTCAGACAAAGGGCTTCTATGTAGAACATATAAAGAATTAAAAAATATCAGCTACCCCCAATTCAAAGACCCAATCCAAAAATGGGCAGCTGAGATGAATACACACTTCTCAAATAAAGAAATACAAATGGCAAATAAATACATAAGAAAATATTCAACATCACTAGTCATTTGAGAAATGCAAATTAAAGCAACACTGAGATTTCATCTCACCCCAGTAAGAATGGCTAGCATTAAGAAATCAACCAACAACAAATGCTGGGGAGGCTGTGGAGGAATAGGAACTCTTCTCTACTACTGGTGGGAATGCAGACTGGTGAAACCACTGTGGAAATCAGTTTGGAGATTCCTCAGCAAACTTGTTCTACAGGTCCCATTCAACCCAGCTATTCCCTTCCTGGGTATTTTCTCAGAAGATCTAAAAACATCTTATCACAGCAATATACATGCACCTATGTTCATAGGAGTGCAATTTCTAATTGCTAAATTATGGAAGCAACACAAATGTCCATCCACTAAGGAATGGATAAAAAAAATCATGATACTTTTATATAATGGAATATTACTCAGCTATAAAGAAAAATAAACTCTAGGCTTTTATAGGTAAATAGTCACAACTAGAGACCATACTCATAAGTGAAGTAAATCAGACCTGCACGTGCAAACACCACACTGTCTCACTAGTGTAAAACCTAAAAGAGTGACTAAAAACTAGGAGGTATGATAGATATTGTGAAGCAAGACGAAAATGCTCAAAGGTAAAGGGCAACTGGGATGTGGGAAAACAGAAGGAGTAGAAGGAGAAATTTGGTATGTATGTATATACAGGACACTTAACATAGCTGAACTACTGTCTTCTATTTCTTTGCTGAAAGAAACAGTTAATGATTCCTTGTTTGATCAATATTGCATGTCTCTATTTGTCTTCCGGAAAAACCACTTTGAAGTTATCAATATGTAATAGAACAAGCATTGTTAATTTCCTATCACTTTGTTTGTAATTCTGTATTGTTTGCATGGTCCTTTTGCTATTTTGTAAATGGTTGTCTGTTTGTTAAAGTTTTCCCTCTTTTATTTTTAAAATAAATTAAAAAACTAAAACTAAAAATAAATATATATATATATATATTGATTAGGTGACCTCACTAGAGGTAAAAAAAAGACTTATTGATCTTAATTTTGCTAAGACTTCTCCTTCGCTAATGCTATTATATTGGACTCATTCTCAGATGTTGGCAGCACACAACAATTCTTTATTGTCACACTAACAATCTGACCTCAAGAAAGACCCCTCCGTTGTAGGTGTGGATTTCACCACCATCGCCATCTCCTCCTCTCACTTTCCTCGTCTTCCCATTTGCTCCTCCTTGCACAGAAAACTTCAGAGCTCACATGTCAGACTTTACTCCTACTACAATGTTCCTTTAACATACAGTCCACCTCAATCAGCATTTCAAGTCTTAAAACAGTACTTACATTCAAGGACTACAGCAATTATTTGAGATGCTACAACTCTACTTTTCGACTCCTACCAAACCACATGTCCATGTAGATGCCCCAGTCTAGTGATTTTCACACTGCGTGTAAGAGACAGCTCCTTCAGAAAGTAGTACTTAGCAGGAACACTTTCTCCCGTTGCTAAAAGATTAACATCCGCCCCACTTCTCTCAGCCTGCTAAACTGTACGGGAAGGCCTCACCTAAGTGGTCTCGCTTGGTGGTGGAGGTGCCACCTACATCATTAGGATGATAAATGCTTTGCACTGCTGCGTAGGTAACACAGGAGTTCATTACACGGTTGGCAAGCACGCTACCAAAGGCACTCATCGCCAACGATATTGAACACGACTTTTTGTTTCGATTTTGCTTTTATTTATTTATTTATTTAGGTCGTGTTGTTGCTGCTGTTTGTCTGTCTAGGCAGCCCAGGGTGGACTCCAGCTCCCAGCAAACCTCCTGCCTCAGCCTCCTGAGTGCTGGACTCACAGGCGCGCACCAGCACGCCCGGCAGTCCCTTCTCTCTGTTCTCACGGCCTTACTTATCACCTGTCCTTAGCTCGGCAATGTGGGCGCACGCCGCAGTTCCGGCAGTTTACTCTCAGCGCAGACCAGCGTCAGCCCGAGGAGCTCACGCGCGGCTCTGAGAACCGTGCTCCAGACCCTCGTCGAACCCAGGCACTCCAGGTCTTCCGCAGCGACGCCGCGGCCCCCGCAGCCCGCCCCCCGCCGCAAGCGGACCGGCCTCCCACGCTCCCACCGCCCCAGGGAGGTGCACGGGCCGAGGGACACGGCG